ATAACCACCAAACCATAACCTTGTCTTAGACACCCCATTTGACCCCCTTTATACAAGATTTGGGTGCCACTACAGGACCTTGGTTGCAACAATGATCTATATGGTCTCAGATTATATCAATAACGTCACAGTAATACAGCATAAATCCAGTGTTGTTATTAAAATCATGATTTTTAATGTCTAGCAAAGTTATAAATTTAAGCTCTGAGGCTCATATTTTGAAAGTGTTGTGCAGGTTCCTTTGAGGATAAGGACTGAGAGGTCAGATATAGAGTGACTATTCTGTGAAAAGTGTTTACCCATGGATGATACAGTGGTTTTGTCTTTTATCATTTTTCTGTGAGAGTTCATTCAAGAGCGTAATGATTGTCTGGTTTCACCCATGTTGTTATTGGGGCATTTAGTGTACTGGATGAGGTACACCACATGTTGTCATAGGCATGTGTAAGACTCATGGATCTTAAAAGGTGTGTTGTGGAGGTACTGATAATTGTAGCAGTGGATATATGTCTGCAGTTTTGCATCTGTTGTTATGGCAGGGTCTGGTGTTGCTTTGATTTGTTGAGTCTTGGTCTGTTGGGACCTTGCTTTTGAAGATGAGCTTGGTGAAGTTGGGGGGTTGTTTGAAAGTCAGAAGATGAGGTTCTGGAAAAATTTCTTTCAGAATGTGGTCCACACTGAGTATGGGTTGTAATTATTTGATGATATCCCATATGGGTTCCAGTGTGGAGTGGTAGGTGACAACTAGAGGAATGTGGTCAGAGTGGGGTTTTTCTGTATTGAAGCAGGTTCTCTAAACATATTTGGGTGGCCTGTTCCATGATGTGATATACTTTCCTGGTGGAGTGTCCCTGTTTAGTAGAGGTGGTTTAAAGTATGTTAAGTTGTGTATCCCAGACTTTCTCCTCAGAACATATTCTGTAGTATATGAGTGGCTGTAGATTACAGATTTCTTGGTCTGTTTGTGGTGGTTATTGGATCTGTGGAGGTAAGTGTGGTGATCCGTGGGTTTCTTGTATATAGTTGTCTATAGGGTTCCATTGTCAAAGCTGATCATGGTATCCAGGAAGTTGATGCAAGTGTGAGAGTGTTCTAGAGAGAGTTTGATGGATGGGTGGTGGTTGTTGAAGTTGTGGTGGAAATATCTGAGGTAGTTTAGGTTGTCTGTCCAGAGGATGAAAATATCATCAATGTATCTCAGGTTTATTATTGGCTTTGTGATGCATTTATCCAGAAATTCTTCCTTGAGGTTGCCCATGAAGATGTTGGCATATTGGGAAGCCAGGCTAATATCTATGGCTGTTCCTAAGAGTTGGAGTAAGTGTTTGTTGTTGAATATAAAACTGTTATGGGTGACAATGAAATGGATGAGTTTGGTAATGTGTTTGGGGTGGATATCTCAGTGATGTAAATTGTCTAGTAGATATTTGAGGCAGGCAGAGACGCTGTCATTGTGAGAGGTGTTGATGTATAGGGAGGGGACATCCATGGTGGCAAGAATGGTGTTCTGAGGGAAGTTGTTAATGTTGTAGATTTTTCTGGAGTAAGTCAGTTGTGTCCTGAAGGAAGCTGGACCTTTGTGTGGTGAATAGTTTGAGCCTGGTTTCTGTGAGCCTTGATATTCCTTTGGAAATAGTGTCATGGCCAGATTTGATGGGTTGCCTGCGTTCCTTTGTTTGTGTATCTTGGAAGCATGTAGAAGGTCACTGGTGTGGGTTCTTGGGGTGAGGTTATAGAGTTTCTCTTGGAGTTGTTTGGGGAAGGATTTGGCGATATACTTAAATCCCTGGGTGAATTATGGTGTGGAGTCTTTATAGAGTTCTTTAAAGTAGATGGTGTTGAAGACTTGTCAGTTGGCCTTGTTAATGTAGTCATCACTGTTGAGACCTATGATGAGACCACTGACGGTCATATTATAGACCTTTGTTATATATATGTAATGCTGAACAGTAAATAGATATCAAGTATCAGGGGGTAGCCGTGATAGTCTGTATCCACAAAAACAACGAGTCCGGTGGCACCTTAAAGACTAACAGATTTATTTGGGCATAAGCTTTCATGGGTAAAAAACTGAATTGCATCTGAAGAAGTGGGTTTTTACCCATGAAAGCTTATGCCCAAATAAATCTGTTAGTCTTTAAGGTGCTTGTTGTTTTAGTAAATAGATGCACTATTTAGAGACTATATTATTTGTGGCAATGTTTTACTATTTGTGGCTATTTTTAATAACCACGATGAAGCAAAACTGCAAATGCATACCAACGTATAAAAACGGGATATTAAGGTAAATAAACAGCAAAGATTGTAATAAATGAGACAATCAGAATACAATGCAAAGTTTGTCAAGTACAACGGCTGCTGTATCATCCACTGTAAATCATTTTTAAAAGCATTTCATTGTCAGCACAACTTTCAAAGAAATACAAAACCAAAATACATTTATGAGCCTAGAACAAGAGGAAATATTTCTAATGATGCTGCAGAAAGAGAGTGTGAAATCTTGGCC